GATCTAACCGTACACGTTTGACGAAACATCACCGTCATCATCTTTTCGGGATTTTGTCATTGATTACTAATGATTTCTGTTTATAACATTGACCACCGATTACCCGACAACCTCAAAAACTTCAAATTACGGTGACTCACTTAGTCAACTACATGTTCGTATTTTTTTTTTAAACTTTCACAACCGTGGTTTGCAATCGAAAAATTGGAGAAACTTCTCTAACGATGTTTTATTCTTCTCGAACACTTGTGTGAAATTACATAGGGTAGAAAGAATTTTCGATTTTTATCTGTAACCACGCATACAGATAAGATATGCACGGGCTTTTTGCCCCAAATACTTTGCCAGATTGCTTGAAACATTAAATAGAGCATTGAACAAATTGATTTCTATATCTGGAGGAGAAATGATACTATCGCCTATAATAAAATACGGAGCACTTTACAATTATTTATGAACGTAATTCACTGACACGGCACTTTTATCATCAGAATAAATTAAGTGTCTAAGAACTGTTAGCATGATTATTTAAATATTTGATATGAACAACTTTTTTCATTAATAACAAAGACAAACGTAATGATAAAGCTTAACACGCGTGTTAGCGGCAACACAATTTTAGGAAGTAAGGGAGTTTGGAAAAGATGACGGAAACTAGGGTCTTTTACAGTTTTACGATATGGTCTGAGGTGCACGTGGCCTCAAGAGTGAGGAAATCTAAACAGATCCCGGAGGATCTAGCCACGGAGTGGGAACATGCTTCTATATACGTAGCCGCACAAATGTATTTGTAGTAGACGTCTTCTTAATTGTAATTTCCTAAAAATGGTTGCGAAATCGTTAATTAATTCACATAATTCTCAATTGAAGTAGCATTACTTTTGGTTGAAATTATAATAGTTAGTTACGGTAACAACAACATTTGCGTGCATTTCTATAGGGTAATATGAAGTATAAAGATAGCATCTTATTTTCTATTTGTAAAAAAAGGTACAAATGAGTTGATAAAGATTTTCGATATCAAATAAATTCAATAGCGAGAGCAGAGGACTTAGTAGTATTAAGCAATAAGCAGTAACATGTAAGTTTTTATGCACGATTCGATGCACCTCGATTTCTGAATAAAAATGTATTAAGTTAATGCTTTAACTTAAAGTAATATGTATTACTCTAATACATTTTGATTCAGAATTTTGAGGTGCATCGAATCGTGCATAAAAACTATTAAAAACAATAAAGATGACTGTCATATATGCTTCAAGCATACACTCATAAACAAAATATAGTAGATTCTCTCCAATTGTCCCACAGCTTATAAAGAAAAATGGTCAATTTGGTAAGAGAAGATGCAATTATAACTTATTATTATTTATAGTTCTTGAGAATCGGTGACGAGAGAATTTGTGTAGCTGTACTTGATTACATAATAGTTTTTGAAGTAACGATTAGTTCTGAAGATAATCGCATGTAGCGATTAAAATGGGACACTCTGTGCAGAATCGGAATCAACGTTCCTGAAATCATTTTGATGTCTCTGCGGTATTTGGAATGAGGAACTGGATTTGTGTGAAAGAAAAAATGTTTCGAAAAGTTTTTTTTTCCTAGTTGTGCAGAATTCCCCGACATGAAAAGCATTATCAAACTGTAGATAATTCTGTATCAAATTTTGTCGTAGATGGTATAATCAGTAGATATTTGACTAGTTAGTTATTATGACAAAAACTAAGTTATTTTGATATCTCCGTTGTATTTATGATATTTTGAAACGATAAATTTTTGATATTTCGAAATATTTTTTATATTATTAATTTTTTTATACTATTAATTGCACGTGCTACAAGTACGTTAGCACTGCATTTTCACGTGCATAGGTAGAGGCAACGTCAATTGAGAGAAACCAAGGACGTTCGACGTTCTCTTTTAAGCGCGCTGTCATGAAACCTGTTGCTGCTTGCTTACATCCTTGTGTGAAAAGAGAAAAATTTAATTCTGAGAGCAAACGTCACTGTGATTTCAGAACTCGCAAAAAAATATTAAAAATAATTTGCATTCGTTTCTTCTTTGGAAATAAATATTTAAATATCAATAAATATCATACGTCTAGTTTTGATAGAATTATTATAGCAACAGTACAGCAAAATTATAATGATGAAACCAATTGTACTCTTATTTTTATGATAGTAAGGTGAAGCAGTGAACCACCTGCACAATAAATTATTCTTAAAATTTGTTTTGTAAAGGATTTACAATAACTGTTTCGGTACATTTTCTAATGTGTAATTTAATTAATTAATTTTCGTTAATTAACTCCTTAGTATTTCTTGTGCACATATGGTTTCCGAATTTACTATTATTTATTGCTAAAAATTATCACGTCGTAACTACAATAATGCTAATATGTTTTAATTAAATTTATCTATCCTATTCTGTCCAACAAATCGGTAAGTATGGTATATATTCTCGTGATCAATTATTTACGGGGATACGATTGTAACTGCAGTTACGAAAAGTACTTGGAGATATTTTCCTTACGCTCATTGATTTTCCCCATTCGACTCATAACATCTTGACTAGGTTTTGTAACAGAGTGGGTAAAACACACGCGCGTAATTATATAGCATGAAATTCCGCGGACACTACAAGTTCGTGTTTAAAGACAGTGTCTAAAAAATGCTAACCAGAAAATGTAAATTACAGAGATATTATCCAACCATGTCAGAGATACGGCAATTAATCGATAAACAAAGAATGTTCGGTACATGTAATCTTGAATTTCCCATTTTGACACCTGCACTGTAGTAACTTGTGTACATATTATATTTATATTAAACTACATTTAGTAAAAACGGGTAAAACGAATTTGTGGCATTAAGCTATACATTAAATCAATTTAGTGACTTCCCGATTTTTTGGAAAAGAAGTGAAATTCGCAAATTATTAATAATTTTGGACAATTTCATTATAAATTATATTATCTATGATATACCCCCCCCCCCCCCCCCC